TCAGTGCAGGGCAGGTGACACTTTTTCATTTCAGCTGAGAATATCCACTTGCCAATAGAAGCCTGGAGCCAGGCTTGCAGGTGTAACACTCATGGTGGCTTCCAAAGATCTTGCTAGTGCCAGGGCCTGGGCTCGTAATGACAGGATTCTCTAGGAAGCAGGATATTCAGTGTAGTCTCCTCTTAGACCTCAGGACTGTTTTAACTTTCCTTTTGTTTCAGCAAACTCACAGACACACAGACATACAGACACCCACACCCACACACAGACACACACATATACCTGTTAATACAAGTGTCCTCCAATTAAATTTGTTCATTCATTTTTGTTGGTCTCAGTTACCTGTGTCTGATCATGGTCCAAAACTGTGAAATGAAAACTTCAAGAAGTAAACAACTCATAAAGATTAAAATAACCTTTATTGTAGTACATTGCTATAACCTTTTGGTTTTAGTAGTCATTGTTAATCTTTTACTGTGCCTAATTGGTAAGTTATGGTGCATAACTCACAGGTATGGTGCATGGAATAAAACTGTATGTTCTCACAGCTTTAGGTTTCCCCTGAGGGTCTCATGGTTTGTCCTTGTGGATGGCTGGGCCTGCTGTGTTAGGGACCTGCTGCTGATTACCATGCCCGGGGGCTGGAGAATGCTGATTGGCAAGGTCACTGCCTCCTTGTAACTGATCACCCTTACCTTGTGGGTGAAGTGTGTTTGCAGAAGTGTGCTGGGCACACTTACCTTCTGAATTCAGGGTTGGGGTACATGGCTGCAGGCAAAGCTGAACTGATCCCAGAGAGATATTTTACCTCCTCCTGCCTTCTGGCTCCCTCATCCATCAGTCTTCTAGGTCTTTCTACTCCTTGCCTTCTAGAGCCTTCTCTCAGAAAAAGCGAATGGCTGTCATCACTCATGGCTTTCTCTCCCTCCTCTAGCTCAGTGTGTGTGTGTGTGTGTGTGTGTGTGTGTGTGTGTGTGTGTGTGAGAGAGAGAGAGAAAGAGAGAGAGAGAGAGAGAGAGAAAGAGAGAGTTTGCTTTGGATTTAATCCAGGACCTTGCATATGCTAAGCAGGTACCACTGAGCTACATACCTCATCGTCATTGGTTAATATTTTTAAGGGTACTCATTTTTTAACCAAATATGAGAGACCTTTATCAAAAGAAATTGATTTTTAGTTACAATTCCCAAATACTGAAAAAACAGATAAAATATGTGCTCCAGGAAGAATAATAGTGATGTGTGTGTGTGTGTGTGTGTGTGTGTGTGTGTGTGTGTGTGTACTGGAAGACAGTAAGGGAGAAGAGACAGAGAGGGACCTGGGGGGCTTTCAGGTTCCCTAGAGCCTCTCCTGAAGGCTGGCCTTCTGCCCCCTTCTAGGCTCCACCAAGATGGAGCCCACTTGTCTCCAGGCCATGAGACACATGGTGGAATACTTTTGGGGAGGCCCTGGAGGCCCTGTATCTGTTCACACAGCAGGCCCCTGAATCCCCCTTCATCACATTCTAGGGCATACAGACTGGCAGCATGCTCCCTGTGCAAGAACAGACCTCGGCCTTGCTGTCTCCCTACTCCTCCATACCCTCTCTCTTTCCCCATCCTGGATGAAAGCTCACTGCAGTGGATGGCCAGTATCCCAGCTGGAGAAGAAGGTACGCCCAGAGCTGGGCTCCCAGATCCTCTCCACTGAGGACTTCAGCAGGAATTATCTAGTCTGAGTGAGTGGTTCTCAACATTTCACCCTCCAGAGCTCTATTGGCAATGCCTGGAGACCTCTGGGTTGTTGTAACCAGGAGAACTGCTCCTGGCACTGACCCCGCGCTGAAGGAGGCCAGGGAGCTGTCCAGCACCCTACAGTACCCAGCGCAGCAGTCCCCACAGCACACTCACCCAGGGTCTGTGATGGTGGACACAGAACTCCAGTGATTCTCAGCACTGAGCAGGGCTAGGCAGAAAGGGCTGAGCCCAGGAGGGGGCCAGTCCTTATTTTCTGATCCACTCACTCTGGGGATGCAGGAAATCTTCCCATTGTGGTCTCCAGCCCCTCAGCTCTAAGCCTGCCTGTGACCAGTCACTTTCGGTGCTTAGTAAATAACTCTGCACCAACTACGCCCCAGGCACAGCTACAGACCCCACGCACAGCCTTACAAGGAAGCTGTGATATTAGCTAATGTTACTGAAGTGTGGCAGACACTTTGTGAATTCTGTTCTTTAGTATTGCCAGAAAATCCTGCAAAGGAACCAATATAATCCTCACTGATAGGTGAAGAAACCGAGGTTTAGTAAGGGTTGAGGAGGGACCCAGTGAGGCTTTCCTAGTCTACCCAGCTTATAAATAAATGTGGAGATGGGTCACAGAATCAGGGAGGTGGATTCCAGGGCGGAACTCCTAGCCACTAAATGTCATAGGGAAAAGAAGGACATCGTCCGTGAAATAAACCAGGGGTCTAAATGTGGATTGGTTACCTTTAACTGGTACTTTACAGGGAATGCCATCCTGCCAACCCAGCTAGATTTTAAATTCACAATTTGTCTAGCAAGGTCCAAATTCCAGCTCAGAACCTTGCAACTCAAAGGCTGGACGCGGTCCCCAGGTGAGCGCTGCTTTGCAGGAGCCCCTGGCTGCAGCCCCCTTTTTGCGCTGCCCCCAGCCCAGCGGAGTGGCCGGCCAAGCCAAGCCAGAGCCTCCAGTTTGGCTTCTTCCTGAACCCGGACTATTTCTGCGTTCAGTTCAAAGGCCGCAAGGTGAGACTCATTGAACTCACTCGTGTTGGGACCCCAAAGCCCCTGGCTGCCCTCCAGGCCAGGCGATGGCTGAGAGGCTCAAGTCTCCGAGCTTTGCAGCGCTGCGCTCCCAGCGGGGCCTAGCGATGGCCTGGCGCCTCCACAAAGAGGCTGAGTTTGCTCCATCTGCTCCCAGCGCAGCCCCGCAGGCAGCCAGCGCAGAGCCCAGAGTTCTATGCATGGGGCGGGAGAACGAAGCCTAGGTAGGAAACCTTGAGAGGAAGAAACTTCGGCTCCCCAGAAAAACTGAACCCGTGAGCGCCCACCGCAGCCCACCTGCGCCCTCTGGGAGCAGCGGGGAACGGGAGGGACCCCTGTACTCCCACACCGAGTGAAGACTGGCCATGCGGGGAGGGGTAGGAAGGGGTGTGCGTTCTTTCTGGTCGCATCTCCCCTAGTCCATTTTCCGGTCCTTCCCTCCCAGCTCCGACCTGGGATCCTTGATGTGGAAACTGCCTTCTGCTCAGCTAGTGCTGTCCCGAGATCAGAAGGCTACCCCTACCGTCATCCAGGGGAGGACCTGTTTCTAAGCAAACCTGCTGGCCCCATCACAATGTATCTGCTTGGGGTCATCTGCCATAGACCCCCAAGTCCGGGCCAAAGACAGACTGGGGTGGTCTCACTGGAGCTGACTGGCTGAAGGTGCCATAGGTGTTCGACTCAGCGTGACGACGATCATCACCACAATAAAATATCAGCTAGCACTGTGCTCAGCGTGCCGGAAAGCACTTTGGCTTCCTTTAACTTGGTGAGATGTCCCCCTCCTAGGACAGTGGGAGACTCTAGGAGAAGGGAGATTGCTGAGAGGTAAGTGGAATCCCTCTCTGCTAGGGCACAAGCCTCCTCCAGAAGAACCAGAAGTGGCTTCTTCAGGTGCCCATCCTGTTCTGAGGGGTACGGGGTGGGGAAGATCGCACACACCGTGCTACTTGATTTGAAGGAAAAGACAGAGAGTTTTAGAAATGAGCCCCATAAATGTTGAGCAACCCTAAATGGAGCATCTTTCTGGCTGAAAGAGATGCAGTCATTTGCCCAGACACAGGGAGACTGGGCTCCCCAGTGTGAGGGAAAAGTGGATCAGAAGTGACCCACTTGCTCGAGCCCCAGCATGGGAGGCACCAAGAATCTGGATCCACGGTGTGTGGTGTGATTCCCTGAGCTGCGTGGATGCCACACATCTTCTCTGCATCCATCATGGAGCATGATGTATACAAGGACCCCGTGTGTCCTCAGGGAAGACTGGGGTGTGGTGTCTAAGCCTGGGCGCTGGGGGTTTGGAGAATTGTTGTGAACCCCCAAAGCTGCTCTCCGAAGGCTCTGGGATTGCTCCAAGTGCTCTGAATTCTGGCCCAGAATGATCTGTGACCAGGTTCCCGCTAACAGAATTCACTCAAAGCAAAGCAAAGGCCCATCTTGCCAACGAGGTGTTCCACTAACAAATTATCGGTGGGTCATCAATCAGATGCAGCTAAGAATGGTTTCTTGCATTGGAGGAGGGAGCTGGGGTGGGAATGGTTTCAGCCTCTGTCCCCAGGGCCAGAGAACAAAACCTGGTGGGCTGGAGCTGGGATCTGAGCCCTGAACTAAGGCACTGCAGGGTCTGCAGGTGCAAGACAGAAGAGCTCCCTCCTTCCCTCTGGCTCAGCCCATGCGCCAGGGGGCAGGACTGCCAGGCTGGACATGACTCTGGAAGCGCATGGTGCTGGGTCTCCGTGGGGCAATGGGTATGGGGAGGGGTTTGGCTGAGCCATAAGGGGAGTTGGAACCCTGGTAACACCATCCCTGTCCTGCCCCAGCAGGAAGGCCTAATCCAAGCCAGTGGCTGTCCAGTCCAGACCAGAGAGGTCTTGGAGCCCAGAGGCATGGACATTTCTAAGAAAAAAAAAGTTTATTTAAAATTTTGTACATAAATAAATAAATAAATATCTTCTGGTATTACAGAAACGGTACAGTCACACAGCTAGGCCCAGGTGGGGCGGGACCCCGGGGTTAGAGAGGGTGGCAGGAGAAGAGCTGGGATCTACACTTGGGAAACTGCAGAGCAGGTCGGTAACAAAACGGAATCGGTTGTCCCAGCACGGAAACCAACGCGGGTGAGTTTTCCCTCCTGGGAGAGAAGCTTCGAGGACTTCAGACAGCGAGGCCTGATCAAGAAAAGCGGGGAAAACTCCTAAATGTGTGGTGTGGGCATGGGTGAATTAAGCAACCACAGGAAAGAATTGGGAGGGAAAGATATTTTTAAAAAGGGAAACAAACGGGGATCCATGTCAAAGGCCGAGCTTGACCGAGGGTGAAGGAGAGTAGAGGACGCTTGAGCTCTCCCAGGAAAGACGGCTGGGAGGTGTCAGCCGCCAGCAAGGCGCAGGGCCAAGCTGGCGAGCCGCAGGTGACTCCAGTGCGGCAGGGATCTAGCTTCGAGTTCTCTTTGGACACCTGGGAGCCCTGCAGGCCGGGATGCCATCTTCAGGTCTCTGCCAAAATCTCAGCTCTTCTCAGAGCTGGGAGCCTCCGCCAAGCCTTGCCAAATCCATGCGAGGCAATCGATTGGCAGCGGGTACCTAGGAACCAGCGCCGCGTCCCAGGACCAGTCTTGGAGCTGCCGGGAGGTTCTGGGTTGGGTCGGCCTAAAGACATGTGCGCTTACGGAGTGACCGAGAGATCCCGGTCGTCCTTCCCCGAGGAGGACGGAGACATAGGTAATTCGTCATCGTCCTCCGAGCCCTTGGCCGAGGAGAGCGATGCGCACTTGCAGCCCTGCGGAGCGCCCCCGCTGGCCCCCGCCGCGGCGCCCCCCGCGCCACCGCCGCGGTGGCTGCCGCCCTTGCCCTCCTTCTTGTGCTTCACTCGGCGGTTCTGAAACCAGATCTTCACCTGCTTCTCCGACAGGTTCAGGTAAGTGGCGATCTCGATGCGTCGAAGGCGGGACAGGTACATGTTGGAGGCGAACTCCCGTTCCAGCTCCAGCAGCTGCGTGCTGGTGAACGCCGTGCGCATCCTCTTGCTGCTGGGCAGCTGGTTCGAGCTGCTGTCTAAAAGGGGTGGCGGGCAGAGACGGAAGCGGTCAGCGACGTGGACCTAGTTCCCTGCCAGAAGGCGGCCTGAATCCCAGGACCGTGGGCGCTCACACCCCCCTCGCCCCAACACGATCCGCAGCGGCAGACTTTAGACGCCTCCTTGCAGGGCACAGGATGCTGATTTTCTTGGAGTCGCTCGGCCCTGGCACCCCATCATGGAGTCTTGGACACCAGGCCTCGCGTCTTCCTGGATGCCCGCCCCACTCCCCCGCGCCCCAGGTCCTGGATCTCCGGCTCTCAACGCCCCCCACCGACAGCGTCCTGCCCCAGGCCCTCCATGTCCGCCACCCTGAGCGCCTCCCTCTGATCCCCCAAGGACCCCCCCAACAGTCCAGGTCCACCCCCTCTGGTCCCCCCCCCCCGCCCCCGGCTCCCCAACCTGCCTCGGATCACCCGGCCCCGGCCCTCTGCGCGGCCGCCCCGCTTACCCACGGAGAGGCAGTGGAACTGCCTGGGGTCCGGCAGCGGGTAGGAAGTTTGGTAGAGTGCGGCGGCGGCGGCGGCGGCCGGGCCGTGGGCGACCCCGGGCGACATGGCCGCGTGCTGGCGGCCCAGGGGCGCGTGGCAGTACTGCGAGCCGAAGGGTGGGAAGGACGCCTTGAGCAGCGGCAGCGCGGGCGGCGCCGGGGGCCCGTGCAGCTGCGAGGCGGTGACGCAGAGCGGACACACGCACAGCAGCCCGGCCTTGCGCGCGTGGCAGGCGCCGGGCGACAGCCCGTGCAGCGCGTGCGGCGGGGGCACGGAGTAGGGGAAGAGCGGCGGCGGGCTGCCCTCGGGCGCCTTCTTCTCGCCGGCCTCGCGCAGCACCAGCGAGTCCACCAGGAAGGAGCGCGGCATGGTCCCGGGCGCGCCGAGCGCTTGCCCCGGCCGCGGCCGCCCGCAGCTGCCTCCGCCCGGGAGCCCGGAGCCGCGCGGGCAGCGGAAGACGCAGCGGCGGCCTCGCCTGCCGCCCGGGGAGCGCGGGGTGCTGGCCAGCGCTAGTGGTGCTGAAAGGCGCCGGCGGCGCCGCTTAAATAGGACCCTTGCCATGTGATGGGCTACGCCAGGAGCGGCCGGGCCTCTCAATGGGGTTTTTGTGCCTTTTCTCTTGGCATTCACTCTGCACGCTTCCTCATTATTTCACTTGTTAACTAAATGAACTGCATAATGTACTGTATTCTTGTCAACCCCACCCACGCCGTCACAGGCGCCCTCGCCCCCTCCTCTCCCTTTTGCAGGTTTATTTTCTCATTCTCCCGCGATTTAATATTCTTTTCTTTCTCTTTATTCCTCACTCGCCTTTGGCTTTGCATTGGTGATCGGCCCATTTATCTTATTGATTTTGCACCTCCTCGCCGCCTCGCCTCCAGGATCCTCGAGGGCGCACCCCCCTCCCCCCGCCACGATCCTGACCCCCTCCTCTCCGTCATCTTTTCCTGCCCCCCTACCGCAGTCAGCTCGCCCAGCTCGGCTCTCTCCCGCGAGCGGGCGTCCCTGCAGCCGGCCTCCATTTCCACCTGTGGAATCCCTTCTCCTCTCCGCGTCGCGAGGGAGGAGGATCGGGGTTCCTCGGAGAGAAGGCGCCTTTGAGCAGGGAGCAGAAGGAGCCACTATTTCTCGCGCACCGCGAGCGCCTCCGTGGAACCTGTTTCTCAGATCGTCTTAACTTTACGGCCGCCTCCACGCCCAGCCTTTGTTCCGCAGACCCTGGCCTCAGGCTACCGGGCAGTGGGTGTTTCAGAAAGAGAGAGGACCTAGAAGAAATAGTCTCTGAGTCACACGGTGGCAGGCAATGGGGACAGGAAAGCCTGGGCGGTGCACACTGGGACCTCCTGCCCCATCACGCGTGGTCCGCGTGGCCCCCTACCCTCGCGGATCTTTCGGGCGCCGTCTCCAGTGCGCGCGCGGCCGCGGGTGGCTCGGGAACCACCGCCCTCCCCACCGGCAGGAGCCGCGCCAGGGGCGCAGTTTGCATGGCTCCAGCCGCCCGCGCCCGCGCCGGCCCGGCTCCTCCCGGTCCAGGACCCCGCTCCTTCCTCCCGCCGCGTGGCTGGCTCCTTCCCGGTCACACAATGGTTAAACAACTTCAAACGTCAGGAGCTGTGTACACAGCCTCGGCTTTTAACGCAGTCCTCCAGCTCAAAGCTGTTTCCTCCAGGAGCTTTTTCCATACAATGGGAAATTAGCATAAATATTTCGAATTTACAGCCGGGGGACTTTTCACCGCAGATCTTTACTTTCGATTTTATTGGAACCAAATCGCTGCAGTCACTTGCTGGAGCCCTGAACGGAGCTGTGAGGACCGGAGGGAGACGCTTTCCAAAGGGTGCGGAGCGCAGGGAGCAGGCTCTCCAAATCCCAGGCGTCTGCGTGGGTTTTCACCGCTGCTGACATCTTTGCAGTAACAACAGAAACAAATTATAATTGTTTAAAAAGCAAAGAGAATTTGTTATAAGGAAAGAAAGGGGGGCTGCTTCCATAGCAGCGGGGGAATAACCCAGCTGGGATAAGGGTTCAAGGTTTCCGCGACTGCCTGGCAGGGGGTCCCCAAGCGCCCCGGCCTCAGCCGTGAGGCTCCTTCGAACCACCCGGAACGCCGCAGCGCAGCCAGGCTCTCGTTTTGGTGGTTCTCTGGGAAATTTGGGCTGGACCAAGTCGCTGGGCCCTGGACCCGGGCCTCCCCGCTGGGCCGAGGCGGGTTGGCGGGAGCGGGTGCCCACGGCTGGGGGAGACGGCGCTGTGCCCGCGGGAGCGCCCTGCTTGCTCCTGGGGAGGAAAGGGTTAAGAACCCCCCACTACCAGCAAAGCCAAAGCTACTGGGAAAGAATATGGGGGGGGGGGATAACCAGTTTCCCCCCTCTCCCTCCAGCCTCTGGACTTTATTGAATGTCATTGAAGAAAGTTTTGAATGCCAGATAAAGAGAGGCGAATTAAAGTGTGTGACAGCGGAGGATAAGCACACACAAAGAGAACTCTGTCACACTTTGGGGCAAAATCCGTGGGCTTTTTACCAAGTCTCTTCGCTATGATTGAATTAAGTAATAGGAAAACATTTTCTTTCAGTTTAGAGGCACTAGACAAAAACTTCAAAGCGAATAACACTTCTTAATGTGCGACCACACAATGGATCGGGTTTTACGCTGAGATATTTAAATGGTTTGTTGTGCGGCTCTGCGCGGGAGAGACCCACGCCGGGGCAAAGCGGCGTCCCCGAGTGTTTTCGGGCAGCCTGCGAGGCTGCGGCCGCGACCGCGACCGGGGCTCCCGGCTGGGCGGCGGCGGGAGACCGAGCGCACCCAGAAGCGTGGCCGTCCCGGGAAGGAGAGGCCCTGCGCCCCCCAGACGGCAGGACCCGGGCCCGGGCAGGTGCCGAGACCGGGGCGGACCAGCTGGGCGCCCTCCGCCCGGTGTCCGGGGCCTCTCTCCGCGCTCCCGGTCGCCCCCCTGGGCTGGCCAGCTTCTGCCGGGTTTGCTGTCTGGGGCGGGGCGAGGCGGGAGGAGGCGGCCGGATTAGCCTGACAACCCGAGAGGGGGCCCCCTGGCAGCCCCTCGGCCAGCCGCAGGCTGCTCTGTCCCCCACCCCTAGCTGGTTTTCAAGTGTCCATCAGGGAAAGTTCAACATAGAATGATTTCTGTTGTCCGTTTTTTCTTCTCCGTCCGTGCTGTGTTCTTCCTTCGTGGGTAGCCTGAACACACCATTCTAGGATTGAGTCTGAGACACTTGGGTAAAAGTTTCCCAAACTGGGGTGCTGGTGGTGTCTGACTGCCTCCCTTCTTCGGTGTCTGTCTTCAGATGTCACTGTCCTGTCCTCGAGGAGACCAATCACCTTATTTGGACACACACACACAGACACACACACACACACACACACACACACACACACACACACGAGCACACGCAAACCCCACCCTCCCTGCCTGGCTCCTGGCTTCATAAGGACCGAGTGTCAGAGCCCATGGAGTTACCTCCCTGACTCTCTCCCCGGGCTCTGAAATGCATATTCTGTGAGACCCAAGGTTTGTGTCTATTTTGTGTATTGTTTGGTATCAAATCAAGTATCAAATCAAATCCTGGCACTTTGGGCAGTACAGAGTGAGTAAATACATGAGAGCAGAGCTGACTCAGAGGTTCAGGCCGAGATGACTCCTGAAGTGTTTTCCTCGTATTCCCAAACACCAACCAGCTGCAGTGGGGCACTGACCAGGTGAGATCTGAACCTCTCCCAGCCCAGAGCATCAGAAAAGTCATATGTCGGTTGACTGGATAGCAAAGTCCCCAGCCTCCATGGCAGGTGCTTATAGAGACAAGAGGGTCCCCCTCGAGGCCATTGTAGTGTCCTGCTCTGCAGAAGTTGGATGAATCAAGGCTGAGAGTCGTCATCAAGGCCTTTCATGATGCATAAGATGAGCTGGGGATGGGAAGAGATCAAAATCATCAGCAACCGTTTCTGCTTTTTTTCTGCCTAAAGGAAATGGAGTGGAAACTCTCGCTGTAGAAAAAGGCATTGCTTCTCTGACCAGAGCAGGCACAGTAGAGCCCCCAGCACTGGCCTGTAAGCAGACTGACTGAATTATTGAATGAACAAAGGTAGAGAAAGAGCTAAGGAGAAGAATGTATTTAAATAATAGATGATGAGAATTGTGGGAACAATAGGAATAGAAAAGAGAAGATCAGGAGAACTCAAAGAATGCACAGGACCAATTAGGGATGTCTGTGTGTGCAAGCCTCAGAGGGCAGGGGTGTGAAATAGCAGGATCAGTGCACTCATGACCGTCTGGTGGCTTGTTTGGAAAGATGGGTGGCCGTGATAGCAGAGGCAGAGATGGAACTTAGTGGTAAGACTGCTTTTGCTTTTGGGGTCAAAATGTGGTTACATTTGGTTTTGTTGATTGCAATTGTTAACCTTCAGAACTGCTGCTGATGTCCCAGAGGCAGATAATAACAGGAGTCTAGAGCTGAGGAGAGAGATTAGATTAGAGATGGAGAGAGAAAGAGAGAGAGAGAGAGAGAGAGAATTTATGTTTTCACAAATGACAGTATTAGTCTAAAGATGAATGCACTGATTATTAATAGGGAGTACAGAGAAAAAGCCAGAGGGCAGTCCATGCCTCCCCTATATTTAAGGAGATAAGTGGAAAGAAGATCTGTAAGACAAATAAGATGAGATAGACACAGAGAAACGAGCACGGTAGAAGAAAATGGAAAGCAAAGAGCTTCACCAGGGCAGCCACATTCAAGGTCGTTGTAGCGTCCTGCTCTGCAGAAGTTGTAGCCAGTAAACACAGGCTCCCTGGAGGCTCGGAGGGATGCGACCCAGTGGTAGAGCACTCATCCAGCATGAGCAGAGTCCTAGCTTAATCCCTAGTGCCATGATACACAGAAATAAATCTAATGAAGTTATCACCTCCAATTACCCATAGAAATTTCTATACTCAGCAGTGACCTCTTATTTCCCTGCAACTCAAAGTTACAAGGTGCCCTGTGTTTTCATCTGGCCGCCCCATCACCAGATCATTGTGAGATAACTCACGCTGCAAAGTGTCAGTATATGATCCTTTCTAGGCATGAAGAAACTGAGGCTTGAGAGAGAAAGTGGCTTTGTCTAGGACCACACAGCTTGTGAGTGAATTAGCCCAGGTTTTATGAATGAAGCTGGGGCACTTTCTCCTGTACACATATGCCATATTATGATCACACTGGATTGAAGCTAACGCTCAGCATTGGATTTAGAGTAGAAGTCAATGGAACCCTGGAAGATGGTTATTATGGGCTATCTGAGGACTTTATAGAAAGCACCATCACTTTGGGGGGGTTCTATATTCATATTGGGCCAAAGGAGGTGAGGGAGTACAGTTTCTCTCTGAGTACGTGCTTTCTATTACAACTTCTTTTCTCTAGGCATCTAACACAGCAGGAGAGGGTATGGGTGTGCTGGAAAAGAGGC